AAATTGCACAAGAAAATCAACCTCAATTCCAGCCTTAGTTTTTAACTCTGTCTGCACTTTAGATTTGCTGGGGAGCTTTAAAATCCGAACAGGGGCACCTGGGTGGCTCAGTCGGTTAAAATCCAAACAGGGGCACCTGTCTTTGGCTTAGGTCAGGATCTTAGGGTCCCGGGATTGAGCCCCTTCTCTGCCCTCATGCAGCGGGGAGTCTGCTTCTCCCTCTGCCTCTCCTCAACCCCTGCTCATGCTCTCTCTCTCTCTCTCTCTCTCTCTCAAATAAACATATAAAATCTTTTTTTAAAATAAAAGAACAAGTATTTAAAAACAAAACAAAATCAATGATTATCTCATCATAAAGCAATTAAGTAAGCATGGCTGGGCATTCACAACTTTTTCTAACTTCTCAGAGGATGCTAATGTGCTGCAATGATTGAAAATTATGCCTCTTTTTTTAACAACAGATACAACCAGTTTCTCTTTGATTTTTTGTGCATCCAAAATGTAAATCTATCATTAAAAAGAGAGATGTGTGCCTTTGAAAATGTATACCAAAAAACAAAACAAAATAAAAACAACTGTTATAGTTTCCCAAAGCAATTCCCAAATTGTTTCTTATTATATCTTACTAGAATAAACATGTGCCTTTTTTGGGAACAATTTGGAAAAATACAAAGCTTGTCATTTGTTCATTCATTCTTCTATTAATGAGCATTGGGTTGCTAAGTTTCTGGTAACTGTAAATAAAGCTGCTATAAACATTTGTGTGCAAGTCTTTGTAGGGACATATGTTTTCATTTATTTTGCATGAATACCAAGGTGGAGAATAACTGAATCATAAGACCAATCATAGTAAAAAATAAAAGCTATATATAATAATGTATGTTTACAAGAAATGGTCAAATTGTTCCCAAAATTTAATTTTACACTCCATCCAGCAATGTATGAGAGTTTTAGGAGTTCTACGTCCTTGTTAACATTAGATACTTTCAGGCTTTTTTATTTTAGCCACTCTAAAAAGTATAGAATTTACTATAATTATGGTTTAAATTCATATTTTCATGATGATACTGAACATTTTTTTGTTTTTATAGGCCATTCATGTGTCTTCTTTTGCAAAGTGACCAAATCTTTTGCTCATTTTTTAGGTAAACTTTTTATTTTGAGATAATTGTAGATTCACATGCAGATGTAAGAAATAATACAGACATCCTGTATGCCTCTTACCTTGTGTACCCCATGGTAGCATCTTATAAAAGTATAGTACAACATCACAGCCAGCTACCAGCATTGCTACAGTCTTCCCATCACATTCAGATTTATCCCCCTGTCCATATATTCATTTATGTATATGTATTAATTATACATGATTGTATAACACACATGGATTCCTGTATCCACCGTCATAGTCAAGACCCAGAACAATTCCATCATCACAAGGATACCTCATGTTGCTCTTTCATAACCATATCCTGCATATCCGGTTAAACTCTGCAACCACTAATTTGTCTCCATTTATAAAGTCTGTCATTTAAAAAATGTTATAGAAATGGAATTATACAATATATAACCTTTTGAGATGACTTTTTTAACTCAGCATAATTCCCTGGAGATTCATCCAAATTGTTGCTTGTATCAATAGTTTGTTCCTTTTTTTGGTATGTGGCATTCCATAGCATGGATATACGACAGTTTATTTAACCATTGATCCACCAAAAGGCATCTGGGTTGTTTACCATTTTTCACTACTATGAATAAAGCTGAATGAATGATCATTTGTGTGCAGGTTTTTTGCAGGGTCATATGGTAATTGCATGGGTAGTTTATAAGGAACTGTAAACTGTTTTCCAGAGTGATGGTATCATTTTACATCCCCACTAGAAGTGAGTTTTGAAAACTCTTCATATATGTTCTGGATACTAGTTCTTTGTCAGATATGCGGTTTACAAATATTTTCTCTCTGTCTATAGTTTGCCTTTTTATGCTCTTAACAGTCTGTTACAGAGCAAAACTTTTTCATTTCAATGAGGTTCAGTTAACCTATTTTTTGCTAGATTGTGCTTTTGTTGTCAAGTCTAAGAACTCTTTATTTCTCAAATACTTTCCACATCTCAAATATTTTCTACATCTCAAATATTTTCTATTTTTTTCTAAAAATAGAAACACATTATACATTTAAATCTGTAATTAATCATGATCTCAGGGGCATGAGATCAGGCCCCACATCAGGTTCTGTGCTAAGTATGGAGTCAGCTTGGGATTCTCTCCTTCTTCCTATGTCCCTTTTGCCCCAACTCACACTCTATAAATAAATAAATATAAATAAATAAATAAATAATTACACTGATCAATTTTTTTTTTTTACTGATCAATTTTCAACTGTAAAATTAACTGTATATTTCCAGGGTACCCCCTCCACCACTTTGGCCATGATGCAGAATCCTTTTTGTATAGTTTTGGAATCAATCTACTAATATATGATTCTAGATTTTTGCATCTTTGTTCATGGATGACATAATTTTTATTTTTGTGTGTGTAATTCTTCTTTCTTTTAGATGACCTTGCAATGTTATAAGGAAGGGTTATCCTGATTTCACAAAATACATTGAAAAGTGTTTGTTCTTCCTCTTTTTTCTGAGTGTGTATAAAGCTAGTTCTAGTTCTTTCTTAAATGTTTGATAAAATTCACAAGTTAAATTTTGTGGGCCAGTGTTATCTTTGTGGGAAGATTTTTTTTTAATTACAAATTCAAGTTCTTTAATAGATATGGAGTGAGGAGGTAGAGGATGAATAGAGTTCCTGCATTATTGCAGCAAAATTGTCTTTATTTAAAATCAGGGCCTGTAGCTTACAGCCATTCCATATGAGCATAAAATGGCCCAATATCTGGGGCCATGTCTCCCTATCCCCTTTCATTCTGTTGCTTCCTAGATCATCACCAAAACCTATGGAAACAAGAAAAGATCCCAGTCAGCAAATTGTCAGGACTGGCAAAATAACATCTGTGGGTCCAAACTGAAAAGAGCTTTTATTTCTTCAGTCCAAATTTATTGAGTCTCAGAGTTAAAAGACAGAAATAAGGGGAGCAGTGGGGGACAGCCCATTGCCTCAGAGTCAAGAGTGAAAGGCAAATCCCTACAGTTGGTGTCTGGAGAGAGGAGGCAGAGAGAATAGAAAGCAAACACAGGCCTGACCTGATAGCTCAGGCTCTGTGCAGAGTCAAGAAAATTGGCTGAAGCTCAGGGAGAAGCTTTAGGTCTCTTGTGTTTCCCTCTCAGACTGAGGTCTGAACTGGGAGGCCTCCCTGGCTGGGACTCTCCACACCCAGCAATGGGATCCCAATAGGCAGGAAAGCAGGGCTGGACCACCTACATTCCCAACAGCCTGTAGAGGACCTCCAGGGTCAGAAGCAGATCCTAGGCCCTTCCCCAGGCCGCCACTCAAAATGGTCTCAGTGGAGCCAAAAGCACTTGCCTGTTTAACAAGCTCCCCGGTGACAGCACCCAACCTAACTCCTCAAATGACAAGGGGAGGAAGAGCATCCAGAATAAAGCTAAGGGGTCGGTATTCCAAGCTCTCTGCTCTGAAAAGCAGCCGGCTGGCTGAGGTAACTTTTGTCTCTTCTTGGAACCTCCCAGGCACTCTATGTACCCTACCCCACTTTGTTCCTGCCACACATGCTAAGGTGTGGGCTGGGGGCAGAAATGGGATGCTGCTGTCAGACAGACTTGAGTTCTGTGAACTCAGGAAATCATTTTGTGTCTTGAGTTTTCGTTTCTTACTATAAATAGAGATAAAGATACATTTTCAAAGAGTTCTGTAAGGATTAAATGAGATAATGTATATCAAGCACTTCCCCCAGTGCCCGGTACAAAGCAAACACCCAATAAATGTCAGCAGGTACTATTCATTAACAGGAGGGCAGGCAACATGCCTTTGTTTCTCCTGCGGGACCCGGCCCACAGAGGAGTCAGTCATGTTCATGGAACAGAAGAAGGAAGCTAAATCTGTTGGTGCTAAATGCAGACCCGAGGCGCCTGCAAATACAAAGCCTGTGGGTGTACCTGCCCTTCGCCCACCTCCACACACCCTTTCCCCACTCGTTTCCCTCTACTTCCTGTCTTTGTGCAGCACCTCTTCTCTCCGTCAAGATTATCTTTTATTTTGTGTAGTAAGAATAATAATACAGTTAGCCATCACTGAGTGGCTAGCTGTAGGTCAGGCACTGTCCTCAGCTCTTCAGCTGTGTTATCCCAACGAATCCTCACAGTGGCCCTGAGGGGCAGTCACTGGCATGCTCTCCACGGTAAGGTGAGTCAACCGAGGAATACAGAGGTCAGGGGCCTGCCACCAAGTCACACATCTTGAACGTGGTGGAGAAGCCAGGCAGACATCGGGCTCCAGATACCTGAGGGGTTTGTGTGTGTGTATGTGTGTATAGGGTGGCCGTGGTGGTGGTGCTGTGTGCAGTGTATATGTGGTGGTGTGTGTGCGCGTGTATGCATGTGTAGGGAGAGTCAATGAGGGACAGCACACAACTTGCCCTCTGCACCACGCCAGTGCCCTGTCACCCCTGCAGAGCCACCTAGCTCCCAGCACTACAAATTCCTATTGCCCTCTGGGGAAAACTGAGAAAGCAGCAAGGAGGTTGCAAAGCAGGAAGAGAGAACAGCTCATAAGGAGTCACTGGCTTCTTCTGCCCCAAGCCTGTCTTCAATCTATCCCTTCCCGGATGATGTATACACCAAGCCCCGTGCACTGACAGTGTCTGCGAGGGCCGGTGCTGCACTCACTGCAACGTGGCCCCAGTACCTGTAGGCATCCCCTGGTCAGCCTGAACCCACGATGCCAACGGGCTTCCTTTCCACAGGATGAAGTTCCACAAGCTCCCTGCTGACTGTCATGTAAACAGAACAGTGTAGCCAAGGGGGCTGCCTCATCTCACCCATGCAGCAGATCCCCTCCTACCATTTCATGAATCTGGTGCCCAGCTGGTGTGCAGACTAGAGACTGTCTACCTTGACAAGATTCTGGGCATTAACAACAGGTAGAGCTTGGTTCTGAGGCCCTGTGGCCCTACTGCCTTTGGAAGCATCCCGAAAGCAATGCCGAGGGTTCCAGAGGGCCGAGGCAATCTTGTATTCCCTGCGGAAGTTCTGGTTCAGGAGCCCATAGACTATGGCATTAAGGCAGCTGTTAAAATAAGCCAGGAAGTAGCTAGTGACAAAGAGTCCCTCTGGGACCTGGGGAGCTATTTCTTCTGGGTTGATGGCCACAGCGAGGCCAATGCAGTTCAGCGGGGCCCAGCAGATAGCGAAGATTACGAACACCACGAACATGGTTAGAAAGCTCCGGATGTTGTTGGGCCTCAGGCGCAGCTTGGGCTCTGACTTGACTTTCTTGTGGGCCTGGAGCACCAGTAGCCAGATGTGCAGGTAACAGAAGGACACGACGGTGATGGGGAGGAGGAAGTGAATGACTACCACTGTCATTGTGTACTGGGCGCTGGCCGTCTGGATGAAGGTGCAGGAGTAGATGCGCGGGTCGTACTCCAGGGACCCCATGAAAAAGTTGGGCAACACGGCTGCCAGGGTAAGGAGCCAGATGAGGCAGATGTAGAGGGAAGTGTGCCAGCACCGGCAGATCTGGTGGTAGGCCACGCTGGGGCAGATGTAGCAGTAGTGGTTAATGGCAATGGCAGTGAGGTTGAAGACAGAGCCAATGACATTCAGGCCCATCACGAAGGCACTGGCCTTGCAGTGCACCTCCCCCAAGGCCCAGCCATCGTGGAAGATGGCCACGAGGGTTAGTGGGTACGGGTACAAGGCCACCATGAGGTCAGCCAATGCCAGACTCACCAAGAACAAATTACCTGGAGCAGATAATAGGGAGCAAAAGTCAGCAAGAGACCCCACAATTTCAAGTCTGTAGACTCTCCCACCCGTTATCCAGTTACCTTTACCCAGCTACTTAAACGTAACTATGGTACTGTTAGCATTGGGGTTGGGGACCTAGGGGCTTTCAGAGACATGGAGTTCCAGGTGCATCTCAGGCTACTGGCTCTGTGACTCAGGCGCTCCAATGCTCCAAGCCTCACTCTTCTCATTTGTAGAATGGGAATAATGATTCCTACTTTATACCATAGCTGTGAGAATCAAATAATGGTGCAAAGTCCTTAGGGACACAAGCAGGCGTTCATAAGTGATAACTGTTTTCACAATAGGCAGATACTCCGGGCCTTTGAATCATTTAAGCCCCAGCAAAGATTCTAAGGGAGAAGAACCAGAAAATCAGGAAAGTGGATTCACTAGCACCCATCTTTGCCCATAATCCCACCTTCCTGCAAATCTCTCTTGCCAGTCTCCTTTTGTGCCTTCTCCCCCACTGGTCAACAGCCTACTTCTAAGTGTCTTTGATTCAATTTTCTAAATGTGAATTTCATTTTGCAGGTGGGATAGAAGAAAAGTTTCAGAGTAGGAACCACGTGTTCTGTAATTCCCGTCTGTCTAGTCGGGGCCTACACTCACAGCCATGCCGCCATGCCGCCATGCCGCCATGCCGCCACGCTGCCAAGCCACCATGTTGGCAGACACCTGGCCTGGTGGCATACTGTCCAGTCCTGAGGAGTCTCAGCCTCCAGTGGCCTCCCTGCTTTGCCTGCACATTCTCCAGCTTTTTGAACTGCCTCCTTCCTCTGAATGGAGTGTTCTCTAGCCAGAGAGAGCCTCTGGAAACCACACCATCCATCGATCAATATGCTTCAGGCATGTTTGGGGCCAGAATTCTAGGGAAGGGACAGGGCTAAATCCAAAAGAACATATTTCTATTTTTAAAGCATTTGGATTCTAAAACAAACACTGACTCATGAATAAAGCACCAAGAATCTGAAGGCATGGCCAAAACCAAGCTCAGAGCACGAGAAGCTCTGTCCCTGATGCTACTGGTTTCATTCACCAAGTGTAACTGTTTGAGCTCCTACTACATGCTTCGAGCATCAGGCAGATGGAAAGGCTCCCAGAGATGCAGCAATCAGAGAGGCCAGGCGGTGGTCTGGCTTTAAGGGGGTACAGAAGAAGGGAGGCTCAGAGCCACCAGGCTGGGGGGTCCCCCTGAGCCAGATGTTCAGGTGAGGTAGACTCCACAATAACAGTTATAAGCCTACAAGGTAGAGGAAGGGCTGCTCCCAGCCGTCCCCTGTTCCCACACAGGTTCATTCACTGCATCTCAAAGAAGATTCCACAGGATGTGCTCCGCGTGGGGGTGGGAACACGGAAGGTCCACAGGCAGCCTTCCTGAAGGGCCCGTTTCAGCCTCAGAGGCTTGCAGTCGACCTCGCTCAGAACCAAGAGAAAAGAAGTCTGTCAGCCTCCTGGGACTTGTCAGGATCTACCTACTCCTGCAGGAGAGCTCGGTGGAGGCCCAAGGCGGACTGGATGGAACAGGAAGGACACCGTTGAACAGTTAGAGTACTAACAAGGTGGTGAGCTTACCTGTCTCGAGAGGCAGGCTGTGCGGCAGTCCTGTCTCAGGTTCAGCTGCTAGCTTCCTTCCCACTCAACGATTTTAGGGATCTATTTACTCGGTGGGGGTAAAGAAGCCCCCCCCTCCCATTCTTTCCGCTTGGTACAGCCAGGCAAGAAAGGCACATCTGAGGGCCTGCTCAGGTGTGGAGGGGGCCTCTTGCTTTTCCATTTACTTCCCAGTTCTATTTGCTACACCTCCACTGGTGGCTGTCAGCCTCTGACGCTTCTACTCAGACCCCACCAGGGCTCAAGGTGGTGACGTATTTCCTCACTTGAAGTTCCCGTTCTCAGCTGGATCAGGAGCTCCTGTCTCTTCCCAGAATTTTCAGTGGCTTTCTGACATTTGGAAGTGGTGGTGCTGGAAGCTGGAATGACCCGGGTAGTCTCAGTTCTGCCACTCTGAAGTTGGGCACATTTCTGAACTTCTTTCTCCATGACTGTTCTTTGATCAGCTCCCTCCTTTTCTTTGGGGGCCCTCTTTCCTTTTCCTTACACGCATTCCACTTGGTTATTTCTGTGAGGAAAATCGCTTCTCCCCAACATAGGAAGATGGGTCTCTGTGAGTAAGGGAGAGGCAGGGCTAGGTAGGGGGCCATGGAATCAGGCTAGTAAAAAAACCTCCCAAAATGTGGAAATGAAAGGAAACCAGAGGTAAATCAACCGGACCATCCTGTCCCAGGTGTCAGAGGCGGGGTCTTGTTAATAACAGCTACTTGTGACCAACAAAGAATTACCGGACCCTAAAAAGGAAGTAAGCCATTGAAGGTGTCATCATTAGTCCTTCCTCAATGGTGATATCAATAGAGATATTAAAAGGATTTAGGTTCCCTCGTTGGCTTTCAATAAAAGACCAACTCTATAAGCCCCCATGGCAACCTGTCCGGATCCCTCTCACTCCTGAGAGCTTTTTCTGTATCCTCGCTTCATAAATTTCTATTGCTTTACTCACCTTCCTTTGTCTGAGAGATTCATTCTTCAACTCTGAGAGGCAAGAACCAAGCTCCCTGCGTCATCTACAGGGCCTCTGGGCTCCTGGTTGAGCAGCAAACAGGCTTTTAGCACTTGCAAGCACGTGCAGAGAGAGTCAAGGGCTGCTGGGAGCCGGTGCCAACTCAGCCAGCTGTTTCCCCCGAAAGCCAGTCAAACTCCGCTGTGTTAATGTGGCTCATCCCCTAATCATGCCCCAGAGGCTGGCAAACAGCTTGTAAATAGTGGGAAGAACACATTCAACTCCACGTAGAGAGTGATTCAATTACTCTCCCCTATTACTCCGGCTGTTCCTAAAAGGCTGAAATCAACCAGTTCCTGCTGTAGGTTCATCTGCCCAGACATCGTACTGTCTCCCAGATTTCTTGTCACCATTCCAAATTAGGCAAATAAAATTCTTGTTCTGTCCCCCATCTGCAAGAAGCCAGGTCCTATCTGGATGGTAGTCAAGGGAGATCTTGTTCTCTATTCATCTCTCCCCCAGACAGGTGAGAAATCCATCAGGAGGCGCACAACCCTGCTCATCCTCCTATGCACAGGCTTCTGATGAATATTCATGTCACAAGTCCTGGCGTGACTTATTTCCATCTGCCTCCACCAGACAGGGTGGATTAGTGGAGACAGCCTTCAACAACAGGCCTTTGTTCACTAATATGGAATTCCCTCTTAACATTCATACGCAGAGCACATCTCTCTCCCCACATGCAACCACCAAAATCCCCATCCCTCCCTCCTCACTTCCTCTTTCTTTTTTTCCAGGACATCTATTTCTTAACAAGGATCTGGTAACCCTGGGGGGTGTAAGGGGTGTAGGGGGACGGGGACCCAGCAAGCCTTGAGTTATCTAGTCTTCATCCGATAGAATTCCAGAAGGTAAAGCCACCTCCATCCTTGCCCCTCCTCCCTGTGTCCTACCCTGCAGGCCCAGAAAAAGAGTTCATAGAATGTAAATTGTCCTTGGTCACTGAGCTAAAAGCCAGTGTAGAAATAGATAGTCATGGAGTCATTTTCTCTACAAATATTTCTGAGTATCTACTAGGTACTAGCTCTGCCTTTGCCAGAGCCGAGGGAGGCATGGGGGGCACGAGAGACACACTTCCAAAGCTGAAGGTCTCACAAGAGTCAATTAAACCAATAAAAACAAGACTTGCAAAGGTTACGACAAGGAATTCAACAGGTAAACTATCATTGCTAATAGGTTTAAACTTCCTGTGCCTCAGGCCCTTCTTCCATCCTTTACCTATTCAAACATACAATACACTTCCTGAGTGCCTACCTATCTGGAGGGCACAATGATGGTCAAAGAGATGGCCCCTGCTGCTGAGATTGCGGCCAGGGGAAGTAGACAGAGAAATGGGCCCTCCAGTGTGCCGTGTGTGTGCCGTGTGTGTGTGTGTGTGTGTGTGTGTGTGTGTGTGTGTGTGTGTGTGTGGCTGGGATAAGGGAACAGTGAGGAAGACCTAGGATGGCGTCGAATGGAGACAGTGGCAGGAGATGGGGCTGGCCAAGCAGGAGAGTTCATCAAGGGGCTGTACAAAATCCCAAAGACCCTGCTGGCCAGCAGCCTGCTTCCTTCCTAGAATGGCTGTTTTCCTCCAAAGGGATTTGGATGGGATGAGCCCAGGAAATAACTATTTACCCCCAAATGAAAGTGGAATATTTTCATTAGTTACCTTCTGGGGTCAAGCATTTGAAATCACTGAGCAGATCATTTGTTAAAAACTTGATTGCCTTACAAATAAATACTAAAACAGGGATCCCTGGGTGGCTCGGCGGTTTGGCGCCAGCCTTGGGCCCAGGGCGTGATTCTGGGGTTCCGGGTGGGTGGAGTCCTGTATCGGGCTCCCTGCAGGGAGCCTGCTTCTCCCTCTGTCTAGGTCTCTGCCTCTCTCTGTGTCTCTCATGAATAAATAAATAAAATCTTTGAAAAAAAGACAATCTTAGAGAATGTGGATGAATCATATAAGGGCCAAGCTGAAATATAACTTTGCTTTAACTGAAAATGAAAAGGCCTGCTAAGCAAGCTGTGTAAAAAACACGATGGGAGTATTTCAACCACTTAAAAGAAGAGAATGTATTTAAAAGCATAAGCATCTATTTTTCTTAAAACTGAGATGCCTATTACAAATTATCCTCCCATAATCATCAACAGAGATCATTTTGAGACTCTTACAATATCATTTTATTATTTCAATTACACTTTATACTAACAACAAAACCATAATTGCTATAGCACCTTTAAAGTTTATAATGTGCCCTTTACATAAATTGACTGAATTTTTTCTCACACGTACCCTATAGGGTGAATCCCAAGTTTCCATTTCAAGAGACTGACACTCAGCTTACGTGAATTGCCTACGGTCATAACAGAGAAAGAGAAAGAAGAGAGACAGGAGGAAATCAGGGAAAAGAAATGTCAAGGGCAAAGGTGTAGAGTTTCTTAGTCATCCACCAAAGTGAGAAACAACAGGAAAGTGCACCATTTAACCTGGCAGTTAGGAGGTCAGGAGTGGTACTAGCAAGGGCATGGTTCTGTCCAGCTGGAGGATAAGCTTGTGTACAGAAGGTTGCTCTCCCCATCGGCTTTTCCCCATCGGCTTTGACTTCAAGAGAAGGAAAGAAATGGAATGGGACTTGCAAAAGGATATCCCTTTGATGGAGAGGTTGTACAGTCTTTTTTCTTTTTCTTTTCTCTTCCTCTCTTCTCAATGGGAGAGACTTTTATCTGGCATGTAAGAAGCACATAGTAATATTAGCTGATGTTTATTACTGCTGCTTTTATATTATTTGTTGTGTAGAAAGAATGAGAAAGAGACTCTGAATGTTGGACTCCAATTCCCCAGGAGATAAGATAGAAGTCACAGTGCTGGGAGGACACTGAAGAAGGCAGGATGTTGCCCTAGGGTGAAAACCCCCCAAGTGCCAAAGACTCTGCTTCTCAACTCCTTAAATTCTACTCTTTCCACAATAAGTATTTTAAATTGTAAGATCTTAGAGTAGCACTGGTATCTTCAGAGTTTTGTGATATATCATGCTAAATACAGACCCCCAATTTCTGAGTGAAAAAGGCAACCTAACACGAAAGTCTTCACGGCCCTGGGCTACTGAGAACTACGTGGGAGGAATTAAAGAGGATTATGAATGAGCTTTCCTGATTGTTCAGCTAAAGACATAATTATGGGATTTAAAACATGCTCGTCTTTGCTTGGTGAGGAGATAAAGTATTCCGAGTAGAAGCCTGAAGTTGGAGAGCTTGAGCCACATCAGCAACAGAGTCCACGTTAGCCCTGTTTGGTCTTTAGCTGATAACAAGCGCTCCAAACCCCCACAGGCTGAGTGGGTCAAAAGACACCTGTCACCAAGTGGCGTCTTCCCGAGCGGTAGGATAAAACTTGGATGAAGTGGGTACCATCTTACCCCATCACGCCTGGAGCACAGGGACTGTGGATCTAGTAAGTATTTCCTCCAAGCCTTCCAAGAGCCTTTGTCCAGAGCTGGTCTGGTATTCATCCCTTACACCCCCAGTCAACAAGTTGGGGGAGGAGGTGGACTCTGCGCCAATCTGACCCGAGATGCTGAACACCTGCTGGGCTGAAAACTCTCATTGGGAAGCCTGCAATGCAGTCACTGTTTCCAGGCAAAAGATGCGGAGTGAGCATCCCTGGGTGCCTGAAGAACTGGGCAGACTATGGCCGAGGACCTGTGTGTCCAGCAACCAAATCCTCCACATTTTCTTGGGAAATCCCAATGTCAAGTGTTTCAAATCCTTTCTCTTACCGATCACCCAACTGTCCTAGCAGTGGCTTCACACCCACTCACTCACAGCACCTCCCCCATAGCCTCTTTAACTCAGATGCAGCACAAGAATCCATCATCAGACTCCGGCTCCTGAGCATTGCCTGGGAAATCAGCCCCTGAGCCCACAGGCCAGGAGCGCCTGATGCTGTTGGGCTTTCCCCTCTGCTAACGGAGATTATTTTTTTAAAATGATTTTGTCCATTTATTATTTTTGAGAGACACAGAGAGAGAGAATGGCAGAGACACAGGCAGAGGGAGAAGTAGGCTCACTGCAGGGAGCCCGACATGGGACTCATTCTGGGTCTCCAGGATCATGCCCTGGGCTGAAGGCGGCGCCAAACTGCTAAGCCACCGGGGCTGCCCTAACAGAGATTAATTTGATTGATCTTACAGTAAGGACATGTTTCTCTCAGCTCTCTTCTGTGTGGCCAACTGTCTGGATGGTGAAGGTAATGGCAGGAGGCTCACCTACATGCAGCTCAAAGGTGGCACTCTCAGACCAGACCGGCAAGGGCCAAACTCCCAGAGGAGGCACAGAGGCACAATCCGGGAGAGGCCTGGCATAGCTGGAGACTGCTGGCCACACAGGAGCAAGTGGGGCAGGCCTCTCTGTGCAGAGGATCCAGTCAGCTTTCAAGGAGAAGAGTGAGGTGTACTGCGGGCTTTGGGTGCTGGAAGCAGTTTAGTTCCTCAAGAACCCTGTGGATGGGGGCACTTGGGTGGCTCAGTGGTTGAGTGTCTACCTTTGGCTCAGGGTGTGATCTGGAATCCTGGGATCCAGTCCCACAGCAGGCTCCCTGCATGGAGGCTGCTTCTCCCTCTGCCTATGTCTCTGCCTCTCTCTGTGTGTCTCTCATGAATAAATAAATAAAATCTTAAGAAAGAAGAAGAAGAAGGAAGAAGAAGAAGAAGAAGAAGAAGAAGAAGAAGAAGAAGAAGAAGAAGAAGACGCCTGCGGATGGCAGAGGCAGTGCCGGCATCTGTAACTGAATCTGCCCCACCCCGTGATGTAACATTTATTCCTTCTGCCCCACTGCTTTCCTGCTTTCTATGATCAATTTGTCGCAACAGATTGGTATTTATTTCTTACTGTGAACTTGGCTCTGTGGACAGAAATGGAATAGAAGTCTCAGCTTTGGACAGATTCACAGTCCCATAGGGAGAGAGAGAAATGAACAATAGCACAGTGAGGTGGGTGCTGCCCGGGGAGGGTGCGTGGAAGCCCCAGGAGGGAGATGGTCCCCACGCCCTATTTGGTCTTAATGAACAGGGTCAACAACCACACGGGGGAGTTGAGGAAGGGGTCTGAAGGAGATGTTCACTGGCAGAAAAGAGGCAAGATGAGGCAGTCTAATAGGAGTCCAATCCTATAAGAGGATAGGACTTGTATATATATAGGAGTCCAATCCGGACTGTGTGGGTGTGGCAGTTGGTCAAAAGCAGGATAAGAGGAGGGAGACAAGGTTGTCCTGTTAGGTGGGTGAGCTCTGGAGTCTGATGATGCTCTACAGATAGACAGCAATCACTGGTGGCAGTGACCCCCACCAGTGGGAACACCCATGGGAGGAGGGAGCAGGGACACCTGTCTGGACACTATGGACATAGTTCATTCAAGATATGGTGAGCATGTAAAGGGAGGCAGTGCAAGTAAGGAAGGCAGGAAAGGGGAATATTGGGAGATACTATAAGGCAAAAATCACAGGGACTTGGGGAATGAAGGAAGCAGGAGTGACACCCAGGGATCAGGCATCTGGGAGAGGAGGAGAAGGAGATCCAAAAACCGGAGCATCAGGTCAGCCAAAGGAATGAAAGTTTCCAAGGAGGGAGTGAGCCTGAAGATCACACACTGCACGGAGGGGCATTTTGGATGCCAGTCTCCAGAACTACCCCCCACTTCACCTCATGCTAGCACAGCTCGCTCTCTCTCTCAAATAAATAAATAAAATCTTTAAAAAAAAGCATATAAAATCAAGGCACGATTTTTTTTTAACACTGGAAGCCCTTGTGTATGTGTGTGCCTGTGTGTGTACCTGTGCGTGCATGCATGTGTGGCGTGTGTGTGTGGGGTGTGCGTGTGTGGGCTAAAGGGAAAGAGCAAACACTGAAAACACAGAAGAGAGAGAAGAACTTGATGGGGGAAGGTTCCAAAAAAGCAGGGAGAGGAAGTGATAACCAGAAAACACAGAGATTATTCTTGGCTGAGTCTAGACCAGGGCAAGCGTGGTCATGCAGGCACAAGAAATATCTTCAGACCCTATCAAAAGAGCCCTAAATAGGACAGGTCCCCAGGAAGCACACACTAAAGAGTGAAATGCCTGGTCTTACACCTGGTTTTACCTTCCAAGTTGGGTCAATGCCCTGAATCTGTTTCCCACTTTCCCTCCATCCTGCCCTCTCTGTCTTTCTCTAGTGCCATCTCTGGAAAAGTCAACCCAACACATGCAGCAAGAGGAGCTGCAGATGGGACAATTAACCTAACCCCTTACTCTGCTGTCAGGATCACCCCTGTTATGGATGACAAGAGGAACTGCATTTGTAATAGTCAAGTGATGGATGCTGTCGTCCGCTAAGAAAGGTGTATGATCTTAATATTGGCTGTGTGCCTTGGCTGTGGGACCTGTGAGTGTTCTCACTGCCACATTCCTATCTTCTTAATATGATGAACTGAGAAACCAGACTTAATTACAAAAAGGTCTGAGATGAGAGTTTCTTAAAGTCACTCTAAACTCTCAGTAGAGAGACTTGATTCCTAGTGGAATGAGGGTACATTCCAAGTGCTATTCGTTTTTAAGCACCTTTGGAAATCTCACTCTGCCAAGGTTTAACAGTAGTTAGGATTTTTCATGACCATTATCAATAAAGCCTGTGGTCAAATAAAAACTGGTTCAATTGCCATGACTGGAGCAGCCACCGATGTGTCAGGAATAACGTCACGTAGCTATGGTGTTAGATCTTGTTTCTGGTTCTGGGCTGCAGCAGACTCAACAGGAGGCAGGAAGGATAGGACAGGAGATGTACCAGCGATTCAATGCTCATTACCCACCCGGGCCACGCTCCCAAAACAGCAAGGTTTCTGTGAGCCCCTTAGGAACACAGAAGAGGCCAGTCCTCCTGGGAATGGAGGAGGCCAGAGACGCCTGGGTGCCTCATGTAAAATGAAGCAGCACTCACCCCCTCCTCCATCGCCTCTCCAACAGCAAGCAGCCCAAATTACGGGCCAGGGAACCACAGCCCACCCGGTTGGTTAGTCGGAGAGAGAAGTGGCCGGTGTCAGAACCTTAATGCCCTCGTCCTGCCTCCCTTCTGCCTGTAGGAGACACATATTTGAGGCTGCTGCAAAGGAACGATGCAATTAAAATTATCAAATACAACCTTCCACTAACCGTAGGGCTTTTTCCTAATATATAAGCTTTTTAGTCAAAGGACATAACAATATCTTGAAAGAGGTGTTCCAGATGATACTAACCATCACCACTGCAATGACTTGAGTTAGAAAGCTTATTTCTGCTTCATATATTGTTTCCCACATTATGAAAGGAGCTCATATATTTTTTTTGTTTGCCCTTTAGATACAAGCACTGGAGTCAGAGAGCCCCACAAAATATATATACCCCTTTACTACAACTGGCCTTTCTGAATGGTGTGGTGCTTTAGAAAAGCGCAGTTGAACTACACACCTGGCTTTCTCCTGCTGTTTGTTCTCTACGATTCACTCTAATATTGGCGTTGTCCCTAAGGCTCAAGCTAGGAAATTACAAATTGACACACAGGGTATTTAGCTTCCCTTGGCTGAACCGGTCAGCATGCTGCAGTGACCCCTCAGGGTCAGAGTTCAGAGACTCCCTCCATCTGGTTTTGTTCCCTTACAGACCTGAGGAATGGAAAAGCTTCAGCTTATTTCATTTCAATGAGAGTGGCACAGAGAAGGAAAAATTACTTTTCTGGGTTGCAGCACCGTTTTTACCAGACCATTATTTTAATCTTCATTTAATGCCCTGAACTCCATCTTGAGAAAAGACCACCTTTCCCCAAAGCAATGTATCTCCGCCCAAAGCAGAGCCTGCAGATTTCTGCACCTGTACTCTCTCGGCGGGAAATGGGTCTTCGGGTGACCTGGAGGTAGATTTGACACAAAACTCCCTGGAGGGCTTCAGGATCTCAGTACCCACGGGGGGGGGGGGTGGGTGGGTGTTAAAGATCCTGGGATTCCTGTGGCCAGGTAGGGTCCCACGTGCACCGCATAAACCGGGGCGCCGCGGCGGGTGACAGCGGCTTCCAGGGGCCCCCGGGGGGCGGGGGCGGGCGCCGCGCTGCAGAGCGCAGGACTCCCGCGGGCACAGGCGGGCACAGGCGGGCACAGGCGGCGGCGCGGGGCGGGCACAGGCGGGCCGGAGCCGCACGTCGGGAAAGGCGGCAGCTGCCCCTAACTTCTGAGCTCGGGGCCAAACTTGGGGACTGGGTTCGGCAAAGGGAGCGGGGCGGCCGGGAACGGAGAGCGGGGCCGGGGGAGGGTGGGCCCGGCGCGGTTCCCGAGCACCGACAGGATGACCAGGAGGTTGCCCACGACGTCGGCCGCCGTGGGGACCGCGAGCACCGCAGACAGCGCCGGCCCCCGCCCCTGCCAGCCCCGCGCCCCGCCCCGCCCGCCCCCGCCCGCCTCGCGGCGCCTGGACACCGAGCCCCGCCGCCCCCTCGGGGCGCCCCGGCGGGAGGGAGCAGGCGCCGAGCGGAGGCAGCCAAGCGGGGGCGGAGCGCGGGGACTGCCCGCGGGAGGACTTGGGGTGCGGCGCTGTCGGAGGGGCTGCGGCGCTCCCTCCCTCCCTCCCTCCCTCCCTCCTACCCTCCTCGGCGGTGGCTGACCCCGGAGAGGCCAAGACCCAAGACCGGCCAGTGGCTGGCTCCGCTCAGGCCTCCCGCACCTGAGATCCCAGAGCCCCTCCTCGCCCCACCCCGCCCCACCCCCAGGAGAGGCTGTGCCCAGGAAGTGGCACCCAGGCGTGCAGACTGGAGAAGGTGCTGGCGGTGGGGACCGGCCGACCTGGGCTTAGAAGGGCAAGGTTTGAGGCCCCTATGGGGGCTGTGCAGCTCCAAAGAGAACGTGGTCCCCCGGGGTATGGGAACAGATCCAGGGCAAAGTAGGGCAGAGGGTTACACCCCTGGCAGCTGCAGGAGAAGAGCAAGTCCTTGCTGTTTATTTATCGAGCACTTGTTGATCTTGGGAGACACTGATGATGTCTCTGCTCTGTCCTCTTTATCCTGAAGACGTTTTTCGTTTTTTTAAGATTATTTATTTATTCATGAGAGACACAGAGAGAGGCAGAGGGAGAGGGAGAGGCAGGTTCCCTGCAGGGGAGCCAGATGTGGGACTCGATCCCAGATCATGATCTGAGCCGAAGGCAGATGCTCAACCACTGAGCCACCCAGACATCCGTTAAAGATGTCTTTAAGCCAAGACACCTACTGATACATGAACATCTATTTAAATATAACAATCCTCAAATAGATGTGTAGTCAATACTGGTGGTAATTATAATGTGGTTTTGGAGGGCTTTGGAACAAAAAGGAGAGTAAAACGTGACTACTGGAAAGAAAGAACTAAGATGCTTTTTATTTAAACTGTTTGAGCACTTGCTCTGATCAAAGCAAAAGCTAACCTCTTCTGAGGGTGAATCTATGCCAAGCACTGTCCTAGCACCTTTCACATCAATAAAACCACTAAAATCAAAATGACTGACAATTTTAAATCTGAGGAAGAGGTGAAGCACCTGGATACATTGCTTTCATGAGAATGCAAAATGGTATAACCGCTTTAAAGAGCTGTTTGATAGTTTCTTACACCATCCTATGACCAGAATGGAGATAAATATGAAACACATGTCCACCAAAAAAAGACTCATTGCCAGGATGTCCGGAGCAACTTTAATGATAGTAGCCTAAAACGGCCCAAATATCCATGAATTAGTGAACAAATTGTGTACATTCATACATGGAATACCATTCAGCAATAAAAACTCCTGATCTACACAACATGGATTAATCTCAAAAATACTGCATTGAACAAAAGAAGGTGGACACAAAAGAGAACATACTCTAGAGTTCATTTATATGAAGTCAAAAGATGAGGAAAATTAGCTTATGGTGATTTATGCCTGTAAGGGTAAGGATTGACCAGGACAGAGGGCAAAATAAATTTCTGAGGTGCTATTTGTATGTTATCTTATGTAAATATAATTTGTGTATTTTATGTAAATTACACTCTCCCACTTCCATCCTATCCCAGCCCCCAAGAAGCAAAAACATAAAGGAAGAGTGCAGGGGAAAGGGAGGGGATGATTCAGGAGAAGGATGTGATTGTTGGAGAACAAATTCCTTGAGAAATGAGCCCATCCCAAGCCCAAGGAAGGAATATTATTGTTAGCAAGGAGAGGCTACACCCCCGGGCCGAAAGAAAGCAGAAGTCAGGGAAAAAGTCCAAAGAGTTTCTAGCTTGGTGTGAGAAAATGAGGGAGCTGCCCCTGGCTGCTCTTGGCCCAAGGGGTTTGAGGCTACCTCATTAGCCAAGATTTGAGGGAAAGAATGTGGGAGGTTTGAAGACTGGAGAAGGTATAAACTGTCATTTCAGAAAATAAGTACACTAACTAGGAGCTGTGCCAGATGTGTCAGGAGAGCCAATACCCCTGAGCAGCTTCAAATCATGGCTTTAAGTGAAGCCAGGCAGCCTCATGGGATGGTTGTCAATCAGCAACTTGGATCTGCTCAGGACAGGTACTGGGGGTGTGTGGGGGGGTGTCTTCAGCTGAGATTGGCGTTTGCCGGCAAGGAGTAACAGAAAGAAGTGAAAGGCATGATGGGAAGATCGACCCTAGGATCTACATTAAATGAAGGATGCTGAGAAAACAGGTGGAGGGTAGGAGTGAGCAGGCTGATGGGCTGTGAGACAGAGATGGGATCAAGGGATTGGAGGGGCTGAATTCAAAGAACTGTGGTGGGTGAACTTGAAAAAAAAATAGGTTGTGATATTGAGAGAGTGGCTTGTTTGAAACTTGCCTGAGATTTCTTAGGAGTGCAGATTCTGTTGAAGTGAGGGCTCTCGGTGGGGTGATGTGGCTAGAGGAAGGAGAGGGAAAGTTCATTGGAAATGAGAAGGTCAAGGAACCGAGAAGCCCAAGTGTGGGTATCGTGGTGGTGAGAGAAAAGGGAAACTGAGTCAGGGCGTGAATCCCAGCGAATGGAGAGAAATGACAAGCCAGTTGGTAAGAAAGATGCAGGAAAAAGGAGAGACAGGGAGACAGCAGGATAGTGTGAATGTCACGGGCTGTTTTTTTTTTTTTTAAGATTTTATTTATTTATTTGAGAAAGAGATTAAGAAACAACACAAGCAGGGGAAGGGGCAGAGGGAGAGGGAGAAGCAGACTCCCCACTGAGCAGGGAGCCTGACTTAGGGCTTGGTCCGAGGATCTTGGGATCATGACCTGAGCCGAAGGCAGATGCTTAACCAACTGAGCCACCCAGGTGCCCCATCACGGGCTTTTTTTCAAAGAAGGGATAACCATACTTTCCTTATTCTTACATAGACACATGTATCAAACATATAGTGGCACTTCTGTGGCTTTCAGCAGTCCTCATAACAGTAGGTGAGTTGAATACAAGATAAATTCCCCCAGTTCAGCACACCAATAACACACACACATTTGGTTAATTGGGTATGAAACAGAGGAAGCGGCCCTGTGCTGCCCTGGGATGTGATCATGCTTATGTCCACAACAGTGTATCTCAGACCTTCGGGCCCTAGGAATTGGGGTGCTCTCTGCCTACGAAGTCAGCATTATATCCTGGGACAGCAGACCAGACTGTGACTCAAAAGGGCAGGGAAATTGTACTGCAACTTTGGAAGACAGTTTTATGGTTTCTCACAAAACTAAGCACGCTTGATGATGATTGTCATATGATACGGCAATCACACTCCTTAGTATTTACCCGAAGGAGTTAAAAAATTATCTCCATACTGAAACCTACACATGGATGTTTATAGCAGCTTTATTCATAATTGCCCAAAATTGGAAGCAACCAAGATGTCCTTCAGTATATTAATGGGTAAATGAACTGTGGTGCATCCAGACTTTTTTCACTAAAAAGAAATGATCTATCAAGCCACAAAAACACATGGAAGAACCTTAAGTACATATTCCTAAGTGAAAGAAGTCAACCTAAAAAGGCTACGTGCGATGTGATTCCAACTATATCACATTCAGAAAAAGGTAAAATTATGGAGAGAGTAAAAAGATCATTGGTTGCTGGGGATTAGGGGAGATGGAGAAAGAGATGACTAGGCAAAGCACAGGGGAGGTTTAGGGCTGTGAAACAACTCTGTATGAGACTATAGTGGTGAACTGGTGTCATTGTACATTTGTTCAAACTCCTACAACACCAATAGTGAACCCTGATATAAACCATGGGCTTTGAGTAATGATGATGTGTCAATGTAACTTCATCAATTGCAACAAACATACCCCCTGGGGGAGCGGATATTGATAATGGGGGAGGTCATGCAGGTGCAGGCGAAGTAGGGGAACTCTGTACTATCCCCTCAATTTTGCTGTGAACCTAAAACTGCTCTAAAGAGGGAAGGGGAAGATGCTCCAGGACTCATACAGCCTCAGCCAAAACAGAAGCCACGCCACTATCAACAAGACCAACTAAAGCGAATCTAGAGAGGAAAGTCCTGATGGTGAAGAGATTGGAGCTAGGGTACCTATGGCGGTTGGGGGGGGGGGCAATTTAAGAGACAAGTATCATATTGGAGAAACTGAGAAGACATCCCAGAAGGAGTGAACTCAGGGTGGAGAGGCTAGACTGGGCTGGAGAAGTGGGCAGGACCCCGTCCAGGTAGGCACCAAAGCCAGGTCTTGAGGCCTCTGGACTTGTCCCCGTGCAATGAAGTCTGTGAGGGTTTGTCTGACATCTGCACCCTGCGCTCTTTTTCAGTCTTCCCTTCCAATGCAGAGCGGATGTCTGCCACAGAAAGCAGTTCCCACGCTGACTCTTCAAGTGTAGAAGAGTGGTGATTGCTTCAGTGTTCCAGCCTGCTGACCTCTTAACATGAGCGGATTCTTTCCACAATAGACAAAACTAACAGGCAACAGGGGCTGCCAACAGTGAAATAAAATGATATGGGAAGAAAAAATCACACCCTGGAGAAGGGGGGAGAGACAAAAGAGGGAGATTCAAGATTCCTAGGTGTTATCTCAACCGAATCAATCAATATCTGGAACACCTATGGAGAGTTCTAGTGTTACAAAAATGAGCAGGGCTGATGTCCCTACACCTGCCCCCAAGTCCAAATGCAAATCACATAAGTTCACAGAAGCTCAGCTTCCCGCATCCAAACAATAGTACCTTTCAATCTGGATAGTACTTGAAACCTTTTCCAAACCACTTTACACAGGCCATCTCATGTCCCCTTTCAACATCTCAGCAAGGCCCGGGAGGCAGGTACAATTGGTCCCCTGGAAAAGAGAGGAACAGGCCGTCAGAGATAAGTCACTTGCCAAGGTTGGTGGCTGATGAGTGGCCAAATATGGGCCTGTAAACCTGCTAACAGAACCCATTTCTTCTATT